TATGAAAAAGATAGGAGAGTACAACTCACTGTATTTCTCATAGCCCTCACCTGTTTTCAATACTTGATCAACTGTCTAGAGTAGAGGTGAGAGCATTGTCCATTATAGTAGATTCTGCAACTACATGATTGGTGGCTTCCAGAGGATGATACTGAAATTTGTAAAGCTGCTCTGGGACGACTAAGTCATGGGATTCATTTCCTAACCTATTTAGCATCTATATGAAACCACTTCCACCAATAAACTTCAGTCTGTTTCACACTGCAGGTACACAATCACTGAGCTCTGTATTTTCAGAACTAAAGGGACTTGCGAGATGTCAGCTATAGCTTCTTTGTTTAAAATGCTCAGAATAGTCTGATATCTGCTGTATTTATTACTGATTAAAGCATTTGGTCCACAGTTTATTTGATGCTGACTGAACATAAAATATCTGAACTCTCTTTTAAAAATGATCCTGCTTCTTTCTTACTGCAATTATGAAACCCCTATGGGACCCCTATGGGACATAATCTGGAGGTGATGGATTAATCTGTCATTGATGTGAGCATGACACATAGCTTTATCTGTTTTTTCCTTTAAAATAGTTGAGGGACTCCACATTAATGTGGAACTCCACATTAATGTGGAATCTTCTAATATATGGTACTGAAAATAGAATTGATGTGCTGGAGATGTGAACAACAAGAGGAGACATTTTATCATGTTTGGTGGATATGTAAAAAAAAGCAAGAAAATGTTGGCTTCAAATCAGAGTTGGTATTCAGCAGGTTCTGACCAGTTCTGGAGAACCGGTAGCGGAAATTTTGAGTAGTTCGGAGAACCGGTAAATACCACCTCTGACTGGCCCCGCCCCCATCTATTCTCTGCCTCCCGAGTCCCAGCTGATCGGGAGGAAATGGGGATTTTGCAGTAACCTTTTCCTGGAGAGGGGTGGGAATGGAGATTTTACAGTATCCTTCCCCTGCCACCAAGCCATGCCCACCAAGCCATGCCCACAAAACCGGTAGAAAATTTTTTGAATCCCACCACTGCTTCAAATGAATAAACTGATTTAGGGGATCTCAAAGACCAAAGACCACAGAATTTTCTTTTGGGATTGAGGGACAAACTTTTTTTGGGGGAAAGTCATGCAATCTTGTTTTTCTACATGATAACAACAGCAAGATAATTGTATGCACAGATAAAGATTTGGGACTACCCACAATGGAGGAATAGTTGATGAAGATGATGGAACTTGCTGAGATGGCTAAATTGAATTATTTGGTCAAAGAAAAGCCAATATCTATGCTTACTGAAATAGGAGTGATGTGTGACCATTTGGAAGAACAGGGCAGTTCAAAATACCAGTGGTTTTGTTCACAGAGCATAGTCTGTTATGAAACTCCAAGAAACAAGCTCTCCCCACCTGGGTTTTCAACCAGGCTGTTGTACGGATCTGAAATGACCACCATACTCATAAATGACTGGATCACTGTAAACTAGATATTACACCTATAGTGATTTTCCAGCAGGGCATCTGGTTTAATGTCAGTAACTGGCATCCAAGGTCTGTAGCTATTTAAATAATAAATAAATAAATAAATAATTTTATTTCTATACCACCCTTCTCCTGAAGGACTCAGGGCGGTGTACAGCCTATTAAAAGCACAAAGACAGACATCAGTTAAAAATAATTAAAATTATTAAATAATTTCGGCTCAAATTTAAAACCCCCAAAATTTAAAACACCCAATTTAAAAATCATTACATTGATAGCCCTGCCTGGCAGAACAACAGGGTCTTGAGGGCACAGCGAAATACACGGAAGTTGGAGATTTTATGCATTTCTGGGGGCAGGTCATTCCACAGGGCAGGGGCTCCCACAGAGAAGGCCCTCCCCCTGGGTGTCGCCAGCCGACATAACTTGGCCGATGGCACCCTGAGGAGACCCTCTCTGTGGGAGCGGACTGGCGGGTGGGAGGCTATTGGTGGCAGAAGTCGGTCTCGAAGATACCCGGGTCCTATGTCATGGAGCACTTTAAAGGTGGTAACCAACACCTTGAATCGCACCCGGAAGACCACTGGGAGCCAGTGCAGCTCGCGCAGGAGGGGTGTCACGTGTGCACAACGGGTTGCGCCCATAACCACCCACGCGGCCGCATTCTGGACCATCTGGAGCCTCCGAGTGCTCTTCAAGGGGAGCCCCATGTAGAGAGCATTACAATAGTCCAGCCGGGAGGTGACAAGGGTGTGAGTGACCGTGTGCAAGGCATCCCGGTTCAGAAAGGGCTGCAACTGGCGAATCAGGCGAACCTGATAAAAAGCCCCCCTGGCCACAGTCGTCTTCTAAAGATAGCCATGCATCCAGGAGGATGCCCAGATTGCGAGCCCTCTCTGTGGGGGGCAGGGATTCATCCCCAATAGTCAGCGATGGCACCAGCTGACTATATCGGGACGCTGGAAGCCATAGCCACTCGGTCTTGGAAAGGTTGAGTCTGAGCCTATTTCTCCCCATCCAGACCCGCACGGCCTCCAGGCAGCGAGACATCACATCAAGGGCATTGTTGGGGTGGTCTGGGGCTCTACAAGACACAGTATGTCTGAAACATCTGTTAAAGATCTCTGTATGCTGGTGGTAAAAATGGCACTATGGATTCATTTACTATATGAGGCACATAGCTGAATGTGGTGTGCAATGCACGATATTAAAATCATTCTGAATTTTGGCTTAAAAGCAAATAAGCAATGTGCTCATCTATTACTGCTCAGATCATTCTGAGAACAACTGTAACTAACAAATCCATAAGAGATGGTCCCTCTATGAGTTCAGTTTGGTCTTCTCAGAACAAGATAAAAAGTTATAATTTGCTCTTTGCTTTATTCCTGAACAAGCTAAATTCCATGTTAGAGACAACATGGACAACGAACATAGCTGTCAGTGTATCATCTGAGAGGATTTTATTCTTTTGACTTTGCACATTTGTCCTTTGTTTGGTGATACCTCTATGTCCCTTTACATCATGACTCTCCACCATGATCTAGTCAGAAGCCACAGACACACAACGCTTCACAAAGTGTAAATGTGTTTCCTTTTCTGGAAACTCTGCAGAATGTAGGGTAAGGGATGCCTTTGAACTGAAGTGCTGCAGGAAATTGTTGAGAAAACCTTAGACCACAACAGGAACAAATCAATCAAAGCTAGATTAAAAAAAAAACCAGGGGGTTCACTGGCAGCAGTAACAGTGAAGCTAAATATTTTGGGCACATAATATAAAAGCCAGGCTTTGGAGAAGACCCTGATGCTTGGAAAACTCAAAGGCAAAATAAAAAGAAAGGTTGACAGAAGAGAAGATGATCAATATATCACTGATGATACAAGCATAAGTTTAAAAAGAAGCAATTAGTTCTGGCAAAAAAAAAAAATTGTCCAGCAGGACATGAACCGTCAGCAAGTCTAAATGACTAAACCACAACAAAGCATGCCTTTTTGTTGTGATTATTTCCCACTTCTCTTCTGGTTATTTTCTTCGGTGGCTCATTGTTCATATTTAGATTTTGCTTGCTTAGCAGAGTCCTTGTTTGTTCTAATAGTTATTCACCCACTGCAACCTAAGGGAAGAGAAAGAAAAGAAAGAATTACGACCCACCACCCTGGTAGAAATTCCTGTCTGGTCACCTGGAGTGGCAAGGGGGCAAAGCAACAGAGCACAGACTAGCCACTCCATTGGGCATCGGGTGGAGACAGTATTTCTTCTCAGGCTGACCCATCTTGACCTTAACTTAGCACACAAAGGCCTACGTGGCGTTTGGATGCTGAGGGTAAGGATCATGCATGTTCTTCATCAGTCATGCTGTTGATTTTAAGAATGGCTTCAGCTGAGTTTTGTCCCTGTTTCTTGATAGTCCCTGCAAGGCACCTGAGTTTGTTATTCCTGTCCATTCCAGCTGGAATTCAAATGGCATGACTTTATCTAAGGAACAGATGAATGGCTCAGCAGGAATGTTTATGGGTGAGAGAGGATAAGCAACTACATTCTCCAACCTTGCCCGGACCTGCTGAGAACTAATGGCCAGATCCCCTCTCACCTGCCTGCAGCTCAATCTTGCTTCCAGGCCAAATAGTTCAGCCTTTTAACCTGAGCAATGCAGGAATGTATTATTCCACCCAAGAACCATTACAACTGAGTCACGTTTTACAGCACCTTTTCTATGGCCTAAGCATCTGCCTTTCCACACTGTGCAGAGTCGACATTAAACCTGAGATGCATAGCTGCCCTCTTTTGCACATCCATTTCATGGAAACAAATGTTGAATGAAGTCCATTTTCCCTTCCTAAGGCCAAGGACCTAAATGCCAAGTAGAACACGTTTGCATATTACTCATATCAGGACCAGGCAATGCTTTGGAAGGTAGCATAAACAGTCCCTATCTGCAGTTTATTAAAGCACTATTTCTGTTTCCAGGCGCCTCAGTTTTAAATGCCTGGAATTCCAGTAAAATGATGATTTTACTCTTGTTTTTTGTACTGCTCTCACCAAACACTTTGTTCGGCATGCTAAGCATTTTAGTCCTCTAATTTCTATACTTTTCAGTAGCACTGCCCTCGTGAGAGTTGGGGGTGCCTTTTATATTTTACTTTCATTTCCTCCTGCACGAAACATCATTTTGTTCATTATGAATAGGTATGGCATGAAATGGTTCAATCATTTCCTTCCTCTTATCCTTGACTGTGAACCTCTGGGACTTTCAATTTCCTTTACCAATTATCTTCCCTGATCTCCACTGCTGGGAAATATTAATTGATGGCTCTTAGTGATATCAAAGAAGGTGGGTTTTTGTATTTAAGAAAAAAATGAATATATAAATAAATATAAATATATACAAATATAAACAGGAGGCGACATCTGATCATCCCATATCATTCCACAAGTGGAGCAGGCCATTTCTGAAGCATCTATCGGTTCACGGGAAAGTTTCGCTGAGGATTGAACTGACAAGTTTTTCTCCTATTTCTTCAGAGAGAAACGAAAGGGGAGAGACCAATGGACTAGATGGAGAAAAGAAGAGAAGGCTTCTCCCCAGCATCACCCACATCACAATCAGACCAGTGGTGAGTTGCTCCTGATCCGGTCTGGTTCTATAGAACCAGTAGTAAAACCAGCAGGAGGCTCTGCCCACCCGCCATGACATCATCATGGGTGATCTGTGCATGCGCAGAAGCGCAAGCGCTCCCGCTGGAAACCGGTAGTAAAGGTAAGTGGAGCCCACCCCTGAATCAGACTCACTGATTCTGGTCACAGGACATGATGGGCTTCTTACCAGGGTGAGGAAGAGCCAGTTCTTCTGAGTTATTAGCACTTAAATTGGGGAAATAAACTTTAATCTATGAGAGTGCTAATTTATTTATTCTTTTATGTTTTATTTTATAATTTATTTGTTCAATTTCTATGGCCACCCATTTCAGTCAATGGCTAATACTTAAGAACTGAAGCAAGGGCAAATTTGAAGTAATGTATCTTTGATTTCATCTTTCAGCAACATATGATATTTAAACTAGCTCAAGCTGTGAAGCAAACTGCGGGCCTTGCTAAATCACAATCTCCACTTACTGCACATCAAAAGATGATTGTGAGGCTGAGGCTTCCGTTATACGGGAAGTGGGAGATCTGTGATAAGAACATTGGTTTGTTTATAATTTAATTACAGCTGCCAGATGGGGATGATGCAAATAGCCCAGCAGCATGTTGACATGGTTCTCCTGTGTAATTTTCCTGGTCAACATTGCACAGATAGTCCTTGACTTATGACCACAATTGAGCCCAACATTTCTGTTGCTAAGTGAGACAGTTGTTAAGTGAGTTTTGCCCCATTTTACGACCCTTCTTGCCACAGTTGTTAAGTGAATCACTGCAGTTGTTAAGTTATTAACAAGGTTGTTAAGTGAATCTGGCTTCTCTATTAACTTCGCTTGGCAGAAGGTCACAAAAAGTGATCGCGTGACTCTGGGACGCTGCAACTTATTTAAATACGAGTCAGTTGCCAAGCATCTGAAGTATGATCAGGTAACCAAGGGAATGCTGCTACGGTCATAAGTGTGAAAAATAGTCATAAATTCCTTTTTTCAGTGCTTTTGTAACTTTGAACAGTCACTAAATGAACCTGTATTGCAGCGTTTCTCAACCTTGGCAACTTGAAGATGAATGGACTTCAACTCCCAGAATTCCCTAGCCAGCATAGCTATAGCATAGCATATTGGATCTAATAGCTTGAAGAAGAAGGGAGAGAGAAAGCTGTAAGAACACAGAAGATATGTTCTGTGAGCATATTCAGGAATTCAGATATGAGTTGGTGTCTTACCCAGAGTTGCATAGATACAATACACACACACACACACACAAGCATACACTTCTCTCTTTCTAAAGGCTAGATTATGAAACGTAACGAGCCTAAATTTCTTGCTGAGAAATCAGATGCCTATCAATAGATGTGGTCTCCATTGAAGTTAGAAGGTTGAATTATGTTCTGAAGTTTCAATCCTGCTTCTTTAGACCTAGCCGAGACCTTGTACCAGAAACTACATAATAAATAAGATCTGCTCAGAAGGGGACTTTCTTTCTAGATACATTTTTGTAGAACACATGGCACCATCAAAGTTGCAGTTACGCAGGTAACAAGTTCTTTTTCATCAACTACTGTAAACCAACCAAATCAAAGCCCATCACATTTTTTTCATCTGAAGCAGTTTGTGAGGAGAGCAAATTTTAATGCTGGGTCTTACACAACAAAAGTAAAATGTATAAAAACGTTCACAAGCACGCATTCAAGTAAGTGTCATATCTGTTTATATATATTTGAAAATCTGTATTATGTTTTGCAGACTTCCAGGCTCCAAATTCAGCTTCAAATTTCCAGTCCATTGGTCTCAAGTGTACTTTAATGGAACATGAAGACATCGCTTTTGTTCTATAATACAGATGCACACCGCTCAGCTAAAAAGATGTATGTGTGTGTGAGAGAGAGAAAGTAAGAGAGAGAGAGAGAGCAGATTTGAAAACTAATGTACTGTCAGCTTATTAAATAAACTACTATAAACTTCAACAGAAACTAGCAGGGAGGTCTGCAATAAAAGAAAAAAAGACAATTTCAGTTAATACTTAAATCCACCGCCAATCTGGAAATTAGCTAGACGTGAGAGGACACACACTTATTTCTTTTAGAGCAGGGCAGATAATCATGTCTAGTCTAGACACTGGATCCATTCCCTCCCTGCTTGGGCAAGTTGGATGATCCAGAGGTAGAACTTAAGAGGGTCAGGTGGGCAAGTCCCTGCCCCTTCATTAAAGACCCATCTAGTGGTGAAATTTAAAAATTTCCCCTACCGGTTCTGTGGGCGTGGCTTGTTGGGGGGGAGCTCATGTGACTCGGTGGGCTTGGCCAACTCGACATCACTCACATCGAGGGGCTCCTCACCGGCCCCTCCCCTCCCAGTCACTCCTTGTCGCGAATGGCAGGAAAATGGGGAGGGGAATATTCTTGCCTACCATCCTTCCCTCAGTCTGTGCTGAGATTGAGGAATGGATGACAGGCAGGAAAATCCTCTTTCCCATTTTTCTGCCTTTCACAAAAATGGCTCCATTCCAGCTGCTCCCCTCCATCCCCCTCCCTCCTGGGGACTACCTTAAAGGGACAGGCTGCAGCAGCTCCTTTCCAAATGGAGGGAGAAAAGTTAGCATTCTCTCTGCTGCATTTAACATTGAATTCTGTGGCAGAGAGAATGCTGACTTTTCTCCCTCCATTCAGAACGGAACTGCTGCTCCCTTTATGGTTCCCTCCTGGCCCCCTCCCTCCTGGGGACTACCTTAAAGGAACAGGCTGCAGCAGCTCCATTCTGAATGGAGGGAGAAAAGTTAGCATTCTTTCTGCTGCATTTAACATTGAATTCTGTGGAATATTGAGCAGCCAGGTGAGCGGCGACCGGCTGGGCGTGGGTGGGGCCAAGGAGGGGTAATTACTACCGGTTCAGTGAACTGATGCCCATAATCCCTAGTGGTTTTCCTGAACCGGTCCAAACCGGTAGGATTTCACCCCTGGACCCATCCCTAATATCCTACTTTTCTCCACACAGGATGAAGCAGGGAGCCAGCTGTGTCGATGGGAGCCTTAGCTTCCTGTCTTTCCCTGCATGAACAGCAGTACTCCATACAAGCTGAAGAGGAAAGCTCAGGCTCTTTGGTGTCCCACTGGATATTAGACCAGGTTCACTTGCCCAATGTCTTTCCCGACTGAAGAATGGGTGGACAGCCGAAACACGTGGTCTCCCCTATTTGCAAAGGTGGTTCTTGTCAGATATTGGCCATCTATTTGTTGAAAAAGCACACAGTGGCTGAACCATACTTATTGGCAATTCATCTGAGCTGCTTGCAAAGAGGAGGCTGTTATTACAAATTCAGGAACAGGTTCAAGCAGAAAACCAGACCGGAAGACAGATGGAGACTACTGGAGGATGTGTTTTTTTTCCCCAGCCCTTATTTAGGGACTATATAGTCCCATTTAGAGCAGGATGAACATCAACTACTTTGAGCGGATGAATGTCCTGCATTTATCCTCCCAATTGATCAAGAGAGAGCTTTAACTTGTTGGCCCTCATCCCATCCATTACTTTCCCCAGATACAATGTCTATCTCTCCTCTGAAAGTTTTGCTAAATGGTCTCTCGTTTTTTTGGGAAGTAGCCAAGGTTTAATATAGAGATATAGGCTTCGCAGTTACTTACAAATGTCCTTCTTCGCAGTAAAAGGTTTATACTTGTTACAGTGAGCATGTCGTATAACTAAAATGTCTCTCTCTCCGTGAAAACATGTGCTTGTTACACAGTCAACAACATGAACTTGTGAGTACAAGTATCTGTGCTTCAGAATGATATCTACAAGATTCTTCCACACCATCTGTATCCTCAGGCAGAAGAGAGATAAGGTCAGTGTTGGCTCCAGCCATTGGTTTATCTCCTTATCTCACCTGCTGAAGATGGAACTATGACCAAGACAGGATTTCACAAGGCTGCCTCTCTCTCTCTCTCTCTCCCTCCCCCCCTCCCTCCCTCCCTCTCTCTCTCTCTCCTAAACAAAATAAAATTGAGGGCAGGGTTAGGAATCTTGCTATTAAAGGAAGGTTTTAATACTCTCTTCTCTGCTCTACTTCTCTAGGGTCAACCTCTATTTTCTCCATCACATTAAGGCCATTCTGGGCTACAGTGTCCTAAAAAGCAGTTGTTGTTTTTAAGTGAAATTCCTAAGAAGCTTTTTTCCACTTGGAAAATTGTGATTTTTCTCTAATGTTTCTATTGCTACATTATTGAAGACTTTGTCAAGACAGAACATGCAGGTGTATCTTAAGTCTATACTGGGCCATGCCTGTGCATCAGCCCTGACAAACAACCCAGCCCCCTCCTCATTATTGTCATTGTGATTTCTATTTTTTTTTCTTGCTCAGTTTTTGTGATATACGAAGGCTATACATATAAGTAATGTTCCAGATAATATTGTCCTTCCATTTCACTAATCTTGTCCTTGGCTTTTAGGAAAAATTGGTAATAGAATTAGTTTTAGGCAATAAGACAATTCATAAAACTTCATACAAAACGGACTAGTCTTGCAATACAATAAAATACCTCTTGCAGATTTTAAATCCAAACACAGCCTTTCCATCAGCCTTCCTAAAATATACTTTAAAGAAACACAGAAGTAACTTCCTCTTCAAGTTTATTTATAGACTTCATTTGCATAACCTGGTTATTGAGTTTAACCCATTTTTTGAGTATTCACAATACACCACACTATAAAGCAAGCAAGCAAATGGACTGGCTTTACATCTCTCTCTTCCTCTTCCTCTCTCCCTTGCTGTCATGCATGTGCACCGAGGGAGGGTGGGGGGAGGGAGAGAGAGAGAGAGAGAGAGTGTTTAAAATTAAGCAAGTTTTAAACATTGTGCAAAAATGGCTGCTTGTAATTGCCTGTCTCATGCAAATATAAACTGTTTTTCAACTCAGAACAAGAGGCAGAGAATAGTCTCCCATAATGGCAAAAAAGCACAAATATGTTTAGTGCAAAAGCATATTTCTTCTCTGTCTTTATGTGAAGAAAAAAATAGTGGTATGGTTTATTCCCTTGCAAAAAAGCCACCCAGTCTGTAAGGACAGAACAGTATACTACTGTTCTATCCTTATTGTTCAGTATAAATACTAAAAATAGATTTGGGGTATAGTCTAGAAAGGTTTGCTATCCAAAATGCCACAGTTCAACGTCTATTTTGTTGCTAATTATCAACCAGGTCATCAAACAAAAATTATATACCATACTGCCAACGTGGTCTGGCAACCCTAATTTTTCCTTCTGTCCTCCTAAAACAGGCCTTGCTTGTCCCAGGTCATGGCGTAGATGCTTGACTGTTTACTTTCCCAGACTGCAAAACACTGAGCAGCTGTAGGAGAGAAGAGTGAAGAGTCGAGGTAAAGCTGCATTATGTTGGCAGCTCTTCTCTGCTGCCAGGGCTGGGTTCTTCTAAACAGCACTTACCATGGACGCCCCTCCCCCCCAGCTTAGCAAGGTCGCATCTTCCAAAGTGCAACCAAATTGGGCCATAAGGAATGCCTCCCTGGGCCTGCCAAGAGGCCTAGCAGGGCAACTTTCTGTTTATCATTTTGGCCAACCTGCATGTGAGGCAGGAAAGCAAGAACAGCACGTTGCTGATGTTGCATCCCAGAAACTTTGCTTTTGAAAATGAGAACGTTATAGAGCCATCATGGTTCATAGTCATCTGTCGACTGTGGAAAAGCGTTCAAGCCGATGAGCCTCACGCATAGTCTGGACTAAAGGTGGGATTCACTTACCTTCCCTACCGGTTTGCAAATGTGAGCGTGCATGCTCATATCAAATCGATCATATTATATCATGATCTTTGGCTTAATAAAATGTCCCAAGCACTAAAAAGGGATTTGCCAGGATAGAAAAGGAGGGTATTAAAATACATTTCAAAACAAAAGTAATGGCATTTCATAAATAATGTCTACACTACGATTAATCTTCTCATCATTCCCACCACCCATCTCCTTCCACTTATGACTGTATGACTGTAATTTTGTTGCTTGTATCCTTACAATTTATATTGATATTGTTTCCTGATTGCTTATTTGTACCCTATGACTATCATTAAGTGTTGTACTTATGATTCTTGATGAACATATCTTTTCTTTTATGTACACTGAGAGCATATGCACCAAGACAAATTCCTTGTGTGTCCAATCACACTTGGCCAATAAAGAATTCTATTCTATTCTATTCTATAACTTGAAGAGTAGGGGGGGAGGGTGAGAGAAAGAGAGAGAGAGAGTGAGTTTTGCTAGTTAAATAGATTCAGTTGCACTAAAAATACATTTGTTTGAAATATGAAGAGGGAAGTTTGAAGTTTGAAAATACTCTATAAATACAGTATTTTCCTATTCAGAAACATTGATTTGACCCCTGTACTCTCCTCAAGCAAACAGGAATTCTAAGTTGGTGCTTTGCGACATCCTGTGGTCACCTGGGGTAATGCATAAATCTTATTGTGCAATATTATTGCTTCCTAGTAGACTTCTAGAGCAAAGGATATTGCAGATGAAGTTGAACCCATCGCCTCTATCAAGATATCCCTAAGAAATTCTCATGAGAGGGAACATCCTTGTGAGGAACACATAACCCTAGATTTAGGAATTGTAGCCAATGAGCAGTTTCTTCTATTTATACCAGTGGTGGGTTGCTCCCAGTTCTGTCCGGTTCTTTAGAACCAGTACTAAAAACGGTGGGAGGCTCCGCCCACTCACCCAGATGTTATAATTGACGATCTGCGCATGTGCAGAAACGCAAGCACGCGTGAGCGAAGCAAGCGCAAGTGCACGCTCCGCTACAAAATGGTAGTAAAGGTAAATAGAACCCACCCCTGATTTATACCTTTAGCATTTTAAACTATTCTTAAAGAAAGAAAACTAAAATAGCTTACAAGATTAAGTAGTAAAACAATCTACTGTATGATCTCAGGGACAAGAAAAGGCACAAAAGAGAAAAAGTGACTGGAGTAAGAATAAGAAAGCAACTACATCTAAATAAAATAGCATATTAAGCTACATTGAAAACTGCTCAGGGGAAGATGTTATTCTAGATGTTGTAATACTTGGGATATACTAGAAACAGATAGAAAAGGGCAGTTTAGAGCAGGTCTGTAGAAGACTGAGGCAAAGGATAAAAGACAATTACAGAATTATGAAACCAGAAGGGGCCTTTGAGACCAGCCTCCTGTTCACAGACCACATCCAAATTTAAGTGTCCTTGTCAGGCAGTTGTTCTTTTATTTGAATATTTCCACTTGAATATTTCCACTGCAAACATGGAGTTGGCCTTTAGATAATTGAATGGATGAAGAAGTTAGCTCCCTTTCAGTACAGCTGAATCGTCCTACATTTCTGGAGGCAGGACAATATCTTTTTTTTTAAAATTTGATTTATATGCCGCCTTCTCCGGAGACTCAGGGCGGCTTACAATGTGCTCAGCAATCTTTATCTTCCACAAGACCAAACTGGGGGTGGGGGGGGGGTGGGTGGGGAATCACATCTCTCAAATAGCCAATTTTTCAAAGTGGCAAAATTTTCCATTGCAATTGTGGAAAAAAGAAATCAGTATTAATAATGTGTACGCCTAACTTCCAATATGCTTAATGCACATATTTTGCTTAAAAGAAAACCCTAAAGAAGAAGAGATGCCACAATCTTAATGCCAAGCCCTGGGTATATAAGATTACACTCAAGGCAAGCGCTGTGCACCCTTTGCTATTCAATCCCAAAGACCTCAGATAATTGTCTTAATTTAAAGATATGGGAAATATCTCAGTCTTAAGGCCTGGAAACGTTTAGAATGGGTAAGACTGAGTATGAGGAACTCATGAGTTGATTCATAACAGAACAGCTTCCTATACATTCATGGTATAGGGATATTAGGGCCAATAGCATACAGGTAGTCCTTGATTTACAACCATTCATTTAGGGTCTAATCAAAGCAACAGCACAGAAAAAAGTGACGATCTGGGTCCTGGGGTTGCCATTTGAGACCTTCGCAGCCGGCTTCTGACAAGCAAAGTCAATGGGGGAATCCGGATTCGCTTAACAAAAGCATGATTCACTTAACAATTGCAGTGATTTTCTTAACAACAATAGGAAGATGGGGCACGACTCACTTAACAACCACCTTGCTTAGCAATGGAAATTCTGGTTCCACATTGTGGTTGTAAGTCGGGGACCACCTGTAAGTGAGGTTCTTTGGGTGGATGTATTTTTGCATTTTGATTGTTCAATTGCTTCTAATCCTTTGTGACCCCCAAAACATAGTTTTTCCAGGGATAACAGTAACTGCTTCTTTCAGTTCTTATAAGCTCATGTTCCTGGCATTAGGGCATTGGAAGCAGTGGTGGGTTCCTCCCGGTTCAGTCCGGTTCCACTGAGCCGGTAGCAGTGACGATATGACATCACCGAACCAATTCTGGGTCCCTCCGCCCCCCCACCCCTCACATTATTCTTACCTTTTATTTGGCCCCACCCCCAATCTATTGCTGCCTCCTGAGTCCCAGCTGATGGCTAGAGGGAAAAAAACTGTTTAAACTCCTGCCGCGGGGCTTCAAAGGGCTGCCCTACAGCTGATCAGTGTTAAAAGAAAACAAATGAGTAGACTGGTGCCTGCAAAAATAAATGGGTAGACCGGTACAGCTCTGCAAGCAGTACCACAAAATAAGCCACGTCCACAGAACCGGTAGTAAAAAAATTTAGAACCCACCCCTGATTGGAAGTATCTGGTTCTTTTTTCCCCTTTTTGTGTGTGTGTGTGAGGTGCTTTCAAATCAATCTTGACTCAGGGTGACTGTTTGGACAAATTCACGCAATTTTATAAGCATGA